GTTCTTTGGCATTTAAAGCAAGGGGCCTCTACATGTCCAGAAAATGCAAGTCTACGTCTCTAACAGGACATTATCCTGCCTGTAGAAAAGTCATCTTCAGGGGATTTGGCAGTCAGTAGGAATATGGGGAAATCTTAGTGCGCTGACAATAAAAGTAACATGAATATATCAATAACTCTAGGGTAGAATGTGTTTTACAGTAGAAAATCACACCAAATCCTATTTGCACACTGAAATAAACATCACTGGCTTGTCTTTTCTGTCTACAGGCAACACTGTGAGTCAGAACCGTGAATACTGTCCTCAGGGTAACACTGTAGCATAAGATTAATAAGTTATTGGTCATTTTTATTGTAATGCCAATGTTCCCTTCACATTCCATTTCTGTGCTAGTGTAATAAGATAAGGTTTCTGCATCACTTACTATCAAATGCCCATATAAAATAGCCGGCAAACCAATGCTATAGGACACATCCTTTTCCATATCTCTCCCAAGAATGCATATTATTCAAATAAGATGATCCAAGAGCCTTCTACACAGCGTCCTGTGCCCCGATAAAAAGGCGCAGGAAAGATGAGGTTTTGAATAGAGGGATGGGTAATTCACCTCCCACATTCATATTTGAAAGTGATGGAATTTGATACTGGACTGTTAAAAAAGCAAGAGGGCAACAGTAATAACAAATTATGGAGTTATACTGAATAGATTTTAAAAAGCATGGACCATTTTTTTTATTTTCATAAGTTCACCTCTGAAAAAAATACTACGGTTTTTACTTTTCCATTGTGACCCAGACACTTCATTATAACCGTCAAAGCCTTAAATAGAAGAGACATTGAACTAACTTTTTTAAAGTAATGTTTTGGATAGATTCAAGCAGATGACAAAATGACATTTTCTATTGCCCGAATGCAAACAGCACAGATTCACCGTGGTCAACATTTACAAATGTATGTTTTTCATTGGCTAAAAACCAAGCTAAATGTGGGAGTATTTATTTGAGCTTCATATTGCTTATGAATGTGGGGGGTATAAAATTCAGAACATTTAACAGTTTGTGTAGCTACTAGTGAGAACCCAGGCACGCATTTGCTTATGATACTCAGAAAACACTGTGGCTGAGTATACAGCTACGGGACACCATGGAATCATCAAATACATACTCTAGCTATGACACGGGGCATCTACAAGAGAAAAAGACAGTGCCATGTCTCATGAAGAAGCTTTCTAATCCCTTGTTAGAAAGCCTATTCTCTGTGGTTTATGGCCTTAATTCTTTTTCTTTTTGAAAAGAACACAAAAACATAAACGGTGAAAATTAAGTTCCTATCACTCCTATTTCCACTGGCTTTCCCCTGAGAACTGCTCTCACCATTTCTTGTGTACCCTTTCAGAAATATTTTATAGATATAAAAATTAATCTATATCTAAATCTCATACTACTCCATGATTCTATCACAATTCCTTTCCATTATATCTTATACTAGAATTGTCTACACGTCCATTGTCCTTGCTATGATGCAAAAATTTTATTTTTTTCAAACATATATCATCAAAATGATTTTAAATAGAGCAATGATTTTAAATAGATAGATACTCTAAAGAAAAAGAGTTTGTTGAACTCAACTGAGTCAGCATGAAGAAGTGTTTAGTAATATTAACTGAGTAAGAATGAGTTGCAACTGTATCATTGGATATCATTTGTTCTATGTAAAATGGGACCAGTTTTCATTCCTACAGTAATAAATATTTCTCTCTCTGTTCGGTTACTGTTCTCTGAGGAAGGTTTAACTGCTAGATGGAATGCAGCAAAATGAATAGGGAATAAAACACTTTATTCTGGATTCATGCTAGATTCCTCAATAGACTAACTTATCTAAATCAGATTTTATACCTCCAAAAGGCATGCACTAATGTTTACTCAAGGGACAGTACATTAATAATATATTTGTGGTTATTTTGATATCTTACATGCATAGAAATGCTTATTCTACTAGTTTCTTTTTTTGCGCATTTTATAAATAGATAATAAAACCAAAGATGAGCAAAACATTTTTAAAATCATCTATATGAAGTATGAAATGAATAATATTAATTAGCTACTATCTTCTCTTTCTTTTCAATTTTACTATATAACATGATTATCTTCTTGCCACAATGGATAGTCTAAGGCTTCCAAAACTTTATTCTTAATCTAGGATATGAAAAGTCATGGGCAGTTTGGATGTTTTGAGTGAAACTAGAGGTTGTATTTAAGAAGAAACAGATTAAGGCATTACATGGGGACACAGTGGGTTGGTGTTAGGAAGGGAAATGGTTCTAATGCCAACTTGCTGGAGCCAAACAGATGTCATCAGTTACATTTCTATTTCTGACTTGGCATGCACAATGCTAGGTTAAACAGTCTATAAAGATGAATAAGACACGGGACCTGCCTTCATTAATAGTCCCGTAGGGAAATAAATGCCAGGGTCAATGTCTGCATGATAAAAAGACTCAAATCTATCATGGGAACATCAAAAATACTGCAATTACACTAATGATTACATTATACCATTCACGGTGCCTTTAGTCCTTACCAAGTCTAAGGAAAAGGTACTGTTACCATTGTCTCCTCCTTCACAGAGGAGGAAGACAAACAACTCGCCCACTTCTGGTGAATGACAGCCTTTGGATGCGTATTTGGGCAGGCTGGTTCTGGAGTCTGCACTCTTAACCACTGCTTATACTGCTTCTCTTATGACTAATTGTGTAACCAGCTCTGATGTTGTTCTTTAAATGAGAGCTGTATACACAGAAAGAAAGAAAAAAGGAAAAGGAGGGAGGGAGTGAAGAAGAAAGGGAGGGAGAGAGGGAGAGAGAGAAGGAGAGGAGGAGGGAGAGGAGGAATGAGAGGAGGAGGGAGAGGAGGAGGGAGAGAGGGGAGAGAGGTAGAGAGAGAGAGAGAGAGAGAGAGATTGAGATTACCATGCCTGAGACCCATGCAGACAGAATTCCATGAACAACAAGACACAGGGAAGTAAAAATTGTGTGAGATATTCTGAGCATCACAGAAGGTCCAGTTCAGTTTCAGAACCAAACCATGTAGTTCTTTTCGTGCCATTCTTGGAAGCTCTAATTTTGTTCTGCAGATAGTAAAGTCCACCAAATACTTCAAATGAGATTACCATGCCTGAGACCCATGCAGACAGAATTCCATGAACAACAAGACACAGGGAAGTAAAAATTGTGTGAGATATTCTGAGCATCACAGAAGGTCCAGTTCAGTTTCAGAACCAAACCATGTAGTTCTTTTCGTGCCATTCTTGGAAGCTCTAATTTTGTTCTGCAGATAGTAAAGTCCACCAAATACTTCAAATCTGGCAGGTAGATGATTCCTAAGATCATATTTTGCTTTTAAACAATTATTGAAAAAACAATGGGAAATGGTTTGGAGGAGAGTTATAGTAGAGGCAGGTAAAAGTTTAGCATAGGTAGAGAATGGTGAATGAATGAACTCAACAAGTAGCAGGCGGACGGGCTGAGTGTTGAAGCTATAGTTCAAAGATATATCGAATAAAACTTAATGACCAATTTGATCATGAAGAATGTTGGAGAAGAGAAAAAAACAGAGAACTGGAGTTAACAGTCTAAATTATTTTAGAGTGAATTAAAAAAGAAACAATTTGATACTTATTTTTCATTTGCATTAGTTTGGTTTATATTACGAAGAGTTGATAAGGGTAATGACCTATTTGGGACATATAAAGATATCCAGTAGCTATACCTAATAAGCTGTTAGAAACACAGGTTATAAAGCTGTGCATCTGGTTATGAACTTGAAGACTAGACCTGGGAGTCTTCAGTTCCTAAGAGCGAGAGCAGTGGATGAGATCACCAGAGAGAAGACAAGGAAAAAAGACTAAGCTCTGAGAAAGATGAGCAAAAGCGGGCAGAAGAGGTGTAATAAGAAGATACTGAATGATCAGTAAGAGTGGGGAACAAAGAGGATCAGCAAAGGAAGGAGTTGTGGGATCCAAATGAAAAATTTCAGGAAGGTATAAATGGGTTAAAAATATGCCAAATGAGGCAAGATTTCAAATAGAAGGCTCAAAAAGTTACAGTTGCAAATGGAAAATTCAGAGATCACTGAGGGCATCAGCAAGGGCAACTCCAGTAAAGTTTGAGACCAGACTTCATACTTTAATGGGATTAATTAGAGAAAAAGACAGCATGTATAGAAGACTGAAATTGTAGACCTGTGAAAAGAAGGGAGAGATGTGAGTATATCTGTAGGCTGAAAGGAATGGTCAGTGTACATTGTACAGGAAGGTATTGAAGGTGGGGAGGGATTGATGGGCATACGTTCTGTATCAGAAGAGAGTAGATGAAATCAATGGGTATCCTCAACATCTTAAATAAAATTGGTTTCATGAGGGAAATATTCATTGTTGTAAGTATCTAATTAGCGGCAAGAAGAGAGTGAACCTTTTTGCAACTGTTGAAATAGTTCAAAGAATCCAACACTGAACTGTTAATAGAAGACACAGATAAAGACACATCGCATAGCAGTGATGTAAGATAAAGAGATATATCTCAGTCTATGGCAACAGGGCACAGAGGTGGTGACCTGCAGGAGAAGGGAGAAATGTTCTCTGTCCACCAGGCAGTCCTCACTGCTTCAAACATGGCACCGCCCAGAATTCACCTTTGGCTGCTCAGACTGGGAGCTGACTTCTCTCTTTCCCCTTCTGGTTTATAATAAATAAGGATCGTTCCAGAGAGAACATAGAGAGTTTAATATGGGCAGAGGTACTGGGAGACTGGGTGACAAGGGAGAGGCTCTGAAGTCAGAGTCACTCATGGGCACAGAAAAAAAAATACATGGTGAGAAATGTTTGGTTTACCATTTTGGTTTAGAGATTTAAAACAAAAGACAGATTTGAACATTTTTCTTCAGTACTGATTTCAGAGCTCAGAGACATCTTAGCAATGAGTAGAGAAAATGTGGGCTACTTACCCATTTTGTATGGCAGCTGTGGGGTCATAGGTCAGAGCCATGCCAGCCTGCATAGAAGAGGGAGAGGAGAGAAAACAGATCTTAACATTTTTATTGTGGTGGCCCAAACTTTCACTGCACACAAAGACTTTTATCTTTCCTTTCCTTGATTTAAGTTTATTTTCTCCTACATATTTCTCCATTGACAAGACAAGCATTTTTACTATCCACACACCAGAATCCACCAGTGAGTCGGGGAGTTTATATTATACATCCAGACAAACCAAGGCACAATGCAGCTTGGAGGACTTCCATTTCTACTTCATAAACCATCAATTTCTCACTATTGACAAAACCACCTATTGTATATACATCTCATGGCACAAGAAAAAAAAAAGTAAAGCTGAATCCTGCGGTCAAAACAAAAATAAAAGCTCCTTAGCATGCATTGGACCTTTTAGAAGAAAATATTAAGAAATATTTATTTTAAAATAGATCGCATGCCTCAGGGGTATGTAGGTAATGAGTCAGGGAGTGCTTGTCCAACACATTGCTAGTACCTGTCCTACTAAGAGTGGTAGAAAAGGAAGGTCATTTACACTTGATGGAAATTCTTGGCTTGCTGGCTAATAAGGAAGTGGTTTTATTTTGTTTCTAAGAAGAAAATTACCTCTGAAAAACTACATTTTGGTAACTGGCAATATTTTGAGAAAAGAATAGAAACTTACATGATTGCTGATGCACAGCTTACCTCATCCCTTCCTACACATCATCACACTTGATCCTCACAAAACCCTATGAAATAGGCAGGAGAATATTTTCTCTATTTTATTATATTTGAAAACCCTGAAGCTTGGAGAGATCAAATGACTTGCTCAAGGTCACATGTTTGGCGGCAGAACCAGATTCCAACCAAAGCCTTCAGATGTGGGCTCTGCTGTAACCTTGAGCTAGGAATTGAATGAGAGCTGAGGATCACCTCTAAAGATGTGGGGGGACTTTCTCTGTGGTCCTATGGGCAGACCACCCTTAGTTTTCCAGGATTGCCAACCTGGTTATCACTTAGTGTAAGCAGAAAGAGAATGGAATTTAAAACTGATTAGGTTGTCTTTAGAGTGTATTGTTTTTTTCCTCTTTTGAAATTTAAAAGTGAATTAGACCAATGTCAATTCCCTGGCTTTGTTAGTTTCCTTTAATTATGAAAGATGTAACCATTGGGTGAAATGAGGTGAGGGGTATACAAAACCTCCCTTTTCATTTCTTTTGTAATTTCTGTGAATCTATAACTATTTCAAAATTAAAAGTAAGACAAAAAATGCAAATGATCGTTGAGGACTTTTTTTAGAGAATAAGAAAAATCATTAAAACTTTAAAGAAAAGAAAAAAGAGCTTTTGTTTTTGAGTTTCTTCCAGCTGGATGAAGGTGGTCTTCCTGTTAGGTTTGCTGAATTCCTCAGATTTAGCACATAAGTGAAACATAAAACCTCTGGCTTTCTAGGGTAGGACCTGAAGTCCAGTATGACATGCTACAGTCAAGCTTAGATTATATGCATTATTTTTCCTAAATAATAAGTTTTAAATTATTACTAAGATTGGTATGAGGAACAAACCTGTAGAGCCAAATATGAATGGGATTAGCATACAGCGAGCATGCATAAATTCAAATGGAGATTGCAAACCACATTGAATGACTCAGGAGTTAATAGAGGAGCACTGAGAACACGTGTTTAATGATAACTGTATCTTACGTTAAAGAAATAGACAATCGATAATATGACAAGTAGAGGGGAATGGGAAATGAGATAAGAATAAAAGAGCAGAAACAAAGGCAAATTTTTATTTATTTATTTATTTATGCCTCTGGTGCAAAACACAGAGAGATCCAAAGTCTACATTCTTTCCAGGGATGGGGCCTCTGCCTTGTGACCGGAAAGAGGAAGGTCCTCGCTTAAGGACTTCCCAGAATAGAGAGGTCTAGGTGAGCTGAAACTCCCTGGTCCCAGATGCTATTGAGGATAGTTTAAAAGCAGTCCATTTGGGGATACTTCTCTCTTAAAAGCACTAAGCTTCTTTCCCCTAACTTACCCAAGATGCCACACCATGTGCAGAATGACAAAAATAGACTTCATACTCAATAGAGATATTGTCAGTTCACGAGAGATTAAGAGTGATCAGGAGAGCTTCAGTCTCCTAACCACCCCAAATGGTTAAAATCCTAGCGGACTTATCAGAAGCCTTTCCTAGTCAACCCTACATTTACTTCTTTTCCTTGTACTTATTTCCCAGTAGTGCTCAAATCCAATGCTATCTAGCCTTTCTTGAATTACAAATTTTCTTGAACATTGTCTTCTTATGCTTT